GGGTACCGAAGGAGCGAATGCTAAGCTTAGCATGTAAGCGTAGCCCCCGAGCGTGTTGCTAGCATCGGGTTGTAAGGCGCAGTCCCTGAGCGTGTTGCTAACGTCGGGTGAATGTGTGGATGCTAAGGTTAGCATGTAAGGTGCAGCCCCTGAGCGTGTTGCTAACGTCGGGTGAATGTGTGGATGCTAAGGTTAGCATGTAAGGTGCAGCCCCTGAGCGTGTTGCTAACGTCGGGTAAATATATGAGTAGAAATAGTGCGACCCGGAAGTGCGTCGGGTGGATGTGCGAATGTTAAAGTAACCATCTAAGGCGCAGCCCCCGAGCATGTTGGTAACGCCGGGTCCGATCATGTGTGTTAATGTCGGGTTGAGAGAAAGAATGTGTAGGCTGGCATGTACTCTCTCCGTTCGGAATTATTTCATAAAAATAGATAAAAATAGACGTATCTACAACTAAAATACATTTAGATACATTCATTTCTTGGACGAGTACTTTGGAACGAAGGGAGTAAGGCGTAGCCTCAATGAATGTGTGATACCCAACGCGTCCGTCAGGATACCCAATGTGTCCGTAGGTACGGAAATTATCTCAGCAGACCGCGTATCGATGCGTTGCCGGGCCGATGGTGTTGTTAACCATGGTCTTGTCGTCCGTAGGTACAGAAATTATCTCAGCAGAGCGTGTATCGATGCGTTACCGGGCCGACAGGTTGTTAACCGTGGACTTATCATCCATAGGTACGGAATTATCTCAGCAGAGCTCGTATCGATGCGTTACCGGGCCGTTGGTGTTTTAAACCGTGGTCTTATCGTCCGGAGGTAAGGAATTATCTCAGCAGAGCGCGTATCGATGCGTTATCGGGCCGACAGTTTTGTTTACCGTGGTCTTATTATCCGTAGGTACGCAATTATCTCAGCAGAGCGCGTATCGATGCGTTGCCGGACTGACGGTGTTGTTAACCATGGTCTTATCGTCCGTAGGTACGGAATTATCTTAGCAGAGCGCGTATCGATAAGTTGTCGGGCTGATGGTGTTGTTAACCGTTTTGTGTCTACTGCACGGCATCTGGATGGGTTCACGATGACCACGCCACTAGTGGAAAAAGGGTGTCTAGTACCGGTTTGTCAACTGGTACAATCCAATCGGGACTAAAGGCCACCCCACCTGTAGTACCGGTTTGCCACGAACCGGTACTAGAGGCCCTCCCCGTTGATGCGCTCGAGTCCTGAGTCTGGAGGACCTTTTATTCTCGATTGGTAACACCAACCGGGACTAAAGGTCATTTTAATAAAATATTTTTTTTGAATTTTTCCTAATTTTCTTTTGATTTTTTTTATATTTGTCAGTTTAATCTCTAATTTAATCCCTAATCTCTAATCTCCCCTAATATCAAGTGAAAGTGCATACTCATGGTCAAACTTCCCAGTCGGTCGCCCATCCTCACACTGCTCCACCCCAGCACGCTTAACTTTTGAGTGCCTTCCCAATGAGATTCCAAGATTGCACTGGTAACATATTGATAATACTACCCTGTCAATCTTATTGTCCCCTAGAATTTGATGTCACATGATATTATTTTTTGAATTTCAAACCTATATTAACATAAACATTAATGATTAAGTAATAATAATTATTAATTCAAATAACAAAAAAATAAATTCCATTGTTAGCTCTTGGGCACCCGATTGTAACCTCCGTCAATCAATACAAGCAAGCAGGAGTATGTCTTTACCTCACAAGGAAGGGCTGAACCTGGGTAAAAAAAACCGCGTCCCTTCTTGCCTCGATTTGAAGATGTCTACTTCCCCAAAACCCACACGATCTAAGCTATATCCCTAGTAGCATATGTCGTGCCAATATCACGACAGTTGGCGCCCGACGTGGGGCATGAGATGTCAAGAGTACAAGCTTCGGCAAGATCGTTCAAACCATCCGCGTCATCAACGGCGCCCTCTACAGACTACTACGACCCACTTGCCATGTTGATCAAACCGGTGAAACCCTACGCGACTGACGGACGCCAGATCGCATATCTGAGCGACTCGTGACAGGGGGAAGCCCATCTAGCTCCCTCCATTCCTGAAACCATCAAAGACACGTTAAGAGATCATTGTCCAAGGTCAAGAGAAAGAATGAGAAGCAAAAACAATAAAAGGATAGAGAGTGCTTACACTATCAGATGGGTTCTTCACACTAAAAGCAAAGGGCTCAGGATCGTAAGCCACCAACAAAGCGATGGTGATCTTCTTGATGTGCTTCGTGGACTCGCCCTTTGACCACTTTGGAGGGGTGGTTCGACACAGGTCGCTGGGACAAGTGTAGTTGCACATCAAATTATCGTGCGCCCTAAGCGACGCTACTCGACGACCAACCCAAAGGTTATACAGATGAGAGGCTATGAGCCCCTCCACCTCAGCTCCTCCAGGCGATCCAGCATTGCCTCCACGATCGCTGCCTTCTCATCTTAAAGGTTTTGCTCAGTTAAAAACCGAGGAGAGCTAAGCTCAGAAGAAAAAGTGGGGATGGGTTTCTCGCCATCGGCGGTCGTCTCCTTGACGTAAATCCATTTATCTTGCCAGTTTTTGGAGATTCTGCTAGGAAGACCTAAATCTAGGAACATGGAAGGGCCGCGAAGTTGAAAAAGAACACTTTCGCAAGCTTGGATCGGATCATTGGCTTGCTTGAGCAAGGTGCGACCGCCAAATAATGCGACCCACAACAGGAAATATGGAGGGCAACCAAGGTAGCCTCACTGAAGGAAATAAAATTTGAAAGGGCCTGGAAAACATGAAGGCCAAGATCGGAGACCTTAACCCCGTAGAAGTGGAGGCAATGCCGGAAAAAGAGAGAGGTTGGAAAAGCCAAGCCTCGGTCCAAAGAAGCCAAGAAAACGATGAACTCCCCAGATTAGGTTTGGGGATTACCTCACGTCCGGGGATTCGCCATGTCATATGCGGGCTTCCAGCATCAGGATGCCGAAGGAGATGTACGTGTCGAGGTTCATCTGTTGAACCTTGGAGGAGTCCATGCGCCTTTCGTCAAGGGAGCAAGCGAGGAAGGAAACGAGCGCGAGGAGCTGCGGCGGCTGAGAGGAAGAAGAGGGGAAAAGGAGAGAATGAGGGTAACCGCTCACTCGTGCGCACCCCTGCTTCTTTTATAGCCGTGATGGGTGTATAACGGCTCAAAAGTAACCGTTGGAGGTGTGCGTCGCACGATTCCAGATCGACGGTGGAAATCGAGGAGAAATTATCGGGTGGCCGTTAAAATGGCGTGTTGAATGGGATTACCCAACGGTAATCTTCCAATCAGCCGTCAAATCACATAAGGACCACTCGATCGCCATCATTAGCTCCCAGCGGCTATATTTGCCTCGGCAAATTCGACTGAGTTACTGCGCAGAAAACAACGACTGCTATAGAAACAGTGACTGCTGATGCGCGCGTGACGCTGGTGAAAAGTCCTGGTTCAGATTGATGGAGGGTGATAATGGCAACAACGTCTGGCATATTCACTATGAATTTGAGCCTTTTTATACAGGTTTAATGCTTGGAACCAGTTATAGAGCTCACCAGCGACACGTCAATACCTTCTATGAAGGACAATCTACAATACATGAAGAAGACCATCCACTCGAACATCATGATGAGTCCCATCTGCGTTCGAGGACTACTGATGGAGATATGCATGATGGGGTGCCTCACGGATGGCAGTCGCCGGGGCGCCCAAGGTGGCCCATATAAGAAGATGGTGCACTCACCAAGCCTGGCAGTTGATATTGAAGCCCATGAAGATGAAGCATAGCGGCCCATTGGCGAAGGCGATTGAGTCCTAGGTCCTTACGGCTAGGGATTTGACACGTACGACAAGTAAACATGTAAACCCTAGCCAAGAGCTTCTTTATAAGCTTGCCTTAGACCAGATCCAATGTACATACCACCCGTAGCCACCATAGCGATTGTGGCGAGTTCCTCAATATTCCCCGCGACTTGCATAGAAACCCTGGAGCTTCGATTGTTAGCCCTTGAGCACCCCATTGTAATATCCATCAATCAATACAAGCAAGCACGAGTAGGTCTTTACCTCACTACGAGGGGCTGAACCTAGATAAAAAAACGGCGTCCCTTGTTACCTTGTTCCGAAGATGTCTACTTCCCCTAACCCCACGCGATCTAAGCTACCCCTAGCATCTATGGTGCCAATACCACGACACTATTATAATTTTAAACATGAAGAAAATTTGGTGATGTGACATGCTAGATCCGTCCAAAAAACACAACACTCGGCACACCATCAATCTATACCTAGTAATATTGCGTACAAGATAACCTAAAAAAAATTGCGTACAAGAAAATACCCACATGCGGGAAAACAAAAAGAAATAGATCAGATCATTGAGGAAACCAAGGACAAAAACAACCCAAGCGGATGCAAAAACAAAACAAAAACGCAAGCAACACAGTAAGACAAAAGATCTTGGGACTGAGAATCCATTAGTAATGCTCATGGGGCAGAGCACGCCCCATCGGACAGACATTTGTTTTCTATGATCTATTGATGCCTAGAAGCTACTCGCTCCGTCTCATAATATAAGACGTTTTTTCACACTAGTGTAGTGTCAAAAAAAACTTCTTACATTATGGAACGGAGGGAGTAGTATTTATGCTCTTAGAGGGGAGTACCGTCTTCATGTATCGTTCCAATTTTATTCAATATCCCGAAAGGGACACGGCATGCGCCGCATTGGACCCAGCTAGTTTTAAACATGAAGGAAATCTGCTGATGTGGCATGTTTGTTCCGTCCAAAAATCACAACATAGGGCACATGCACAATCCATGCCACATGCCCGGAAAGCAAAAGAAATAGATCAGATCATTGAGGAAACCAATGAGAGAAACAACACAAGCAAGCAGATGCAAAACCAAAACAAAATCGCAAGCAACACAATAAGAAAGAAAAAATAAGAGAAAAACTCGGAACTGAGAATCGATCAGTAATTCTCATGGCCGGGGCAGGAGCACGTCGCGAAGCAGGTTGTCGAAGTTGCGGTGAGAGGAGCCGGCGTGCTTGGTGGTGGCCTTGGCTGCCTTCTCCTTCCACTCCTGTGCCTTCTTCCTCATCTCCCTTCCCCTGTCCCCCTCCATGAGCTCCGTGACAAGGCCCCTGACGCTGTCTCGCCGGACGTGGCACTCCATCTCCAGGCCGACGCCCCACTCGTTGCACTGGTATCGACAGTTGGTCTGCTGGTCCCCACAGGAGGGCCAGCTGATGACCGGCACACCGGTGCAGATGCTCTCCAATGTGGAGTTCCAGCCGCTGTGCGTGATGAAGGCGCCCACGGCCGGGTGGGCCAGCACCTCCTTCTGCGGGCACCAGGAGGCCACCAGGCCGCGGTCGGCGGTGGTGGCGGAGAACTCCGGGGGCAGCAGAGCCGCCGCTTGGGTTTGGCCCTTGACGAGATCGGGGCGGATGATCCACAGGAAGTGCCTGCGGCTGTGGGCTAGCCCCCACGCCAACTCGAGAAACTCCTCGTTGGTCATGACGGTGATGCTGCCGAAGTTGACGTACACCACAGAGCCCGGCTCCTTGGCGTCGAGCCAAGGCAGGCACCCGTGGTCTTCCATCCATAGGCTGAGGCTGAGGGCGCTGCTGAGACATGGGGCTGAAGAGGCCAGGAGCAGCGGGAGCGGGCCGATCGTGTAGACCTTGGCAATGCCGAGGGCCTCCATGGCCGCCGCCTCCTCGCCCTCGAGGTCGTCGAAACTGTTTAGGATCACGGCGGATGCGCAGGTTGCGTGCTCCATTTGCCTGAGGGCCAACTGCAGCATGAAGTCGCCATCCGGATCTGTGGCGCGTACCAAGGTGGGGAAGTCCCTGAACCTCATATTTCTCAGCCCGGGCACATCTTCCACCGGCGTGTCAAGATACTCAGTCGTCAAGGCACCTTTTGGCGGTGGGACGAGACCACGGTCGACGAGGAGGCGGTAGTGGCGCAAGCCGAGGTAGCTCGCGGCACTGGCTTCCCAGAAATGGACGTAGGGGACGCCAAGCTCCCTGGCCGCTTCGATGGAGAAACTCATGACCGAGTCGGAGATGATGCAGGTCACCGGTGGGACGCCACTAGCCGGATCGTTGAGCTCGGCGAGAACTCGCCGGAAGGGCCCCAGGCAAGTCTCCTCGATGGATCTGCACACAGAATCGCCGTCCTGCGTGACGTCCATGTCCTCCGACGGTGGCAGGCCGTCCGGGATGGTGGCGAACCGGAAGCCCGGGACGCCAGCCACCGCCGACGCGCCCCGTGACCGGAGGAGGCGCGCGTGGTTGTACTCCGTGTTAATGAAGGTGACATGGAAGCCGCGGCCGTGCAGCAGCTTGGCCACGTCCAGGATTGGGTTGATGTGCCCCTGCGCCGGCGCAGGCAGGCACACGGCGTGTGCCTTCTCCTTCTCGGCGCTCCTCGCCGCCTGTACAGAAGCCATTTCGCCTAAGATCGACAGTGTAACACCGCGTTCGTTGCTGCTTGTTTCACTACGTATGGAGGCTTCTTTCCCGGCCCTTCTTTTATAACGATCGAGACTAGGAAAATACCCCTACGTGCGTCCTACGGGTAGACGTATTTACCAAAATAACAAGTACTCCATCCGTTCCTTGATATAAGGTGTATAGATTTTTGAGAAAAACCCCGAAATATAAGATGTATTGCGTTGCATCACTCGTTTGGATAATTTTTTTAGGGATTTGATTACATTACCTTATATTAGGCAAACTTCTCTATTTTTTCTCATGCCAATTAGTCAGGTGTAATCTCGCCCAAAATTTGAGAAATTTTCCCTTCACGTACGTTCTTTATTTTCCGTGCCAAAAACTATACACCCTATATTCAGGAACGGAAGGAGTACTATATTTTTCTACGAGAATGGCGTTTTGGAGGCCTAGCTCCATTAAAGCTTTTATTTTTGAAAAATTCAAATTCACACTTTTATGTTTCAAAAAATTCTGAAAAAAATATACGTGTATGTAAGGATGTAACCCACATGTGTGTAAAATTTCATGATGAAATACGTCGAAATGCGATCAGTACAAAAAAGACAAAATCATGGCGTGGAAGGATGAATAGTATCATGTGTTAAACAACCTTGGATTTGTCTTTTTGCACAACCCTTATTTCATCGTTTTTGCCTGGAAAATTTACACACATGTGTGTTATGCCTTCATGTATATCTGTACTTTTTCTCAGAATTTTTTGAAATGTAAAAATATAAATTTCAATGAAATTTGAATTTTAAATCTGGAGGCCTCCAGTGAGCTCGGTCACCAAAGCCAATTTTCTTTTTTTACTACTTGCTGTAAACGATGAACGATGAAGCGGCTGAAGCGTCAAATCCAGGCTGTTGGGGCAGTTGAGGGTGCAGATGATCATAAATATTTGACTACTTTTTTTTCTCACCTGGCATATCCGGGTGACGCGTTTATTTTTACTTCCTAGCCACCTCCCTCGGCGGGTTATGGTGGATGGCGCCCTACCGGTTCCTGTTAACTAAACTAATGTATATTAGGTTTATTTTATTGAATATTTATTGGGCCATATAGAATTTTTACGCTATTATATATGGTCTTGTTCATCACAAAGAAAATCCAACACCTCTATATTAAGCATGACAATACATATTATTGACAACATCACCATAAAAAAATCAGTGTAAGATGATGCATAGACCAGTTAATTTTTTCCGATAAAGGGCACTATATTACTTAAAGAGTTTTCAGAATTACACCCGGCTTCTGCATAACAAGATGCACACAGCCGACAAGAAGTCTAAAAAATGTAAATAGAAGATACAAAGCGAATTACACACAAAACATGCAGCTCATGTATAAACGCCTAAATAGGAGGAGGGCCTATCCGCAGGTCATGCTGCCATCCATGTTGGGAAATAAAGTCCCTCGCCGTATCCTCCAGCCGTATACACACCTCATAAATAGGTCTCGAAACTCCACACGATGTAGAGACAACCATATACGAAGTGTACTGGTGCATCGGTAGATAGCCTACAAGAGAGAAGAGGTTTACCGTTAAACACTTTATCATTTCTACATAGCCAAAGCGACATATAATGACAATCGTGCCCACTCTAAGAAGTATTTTGTACTTGTGATCAATCCCATGAAGCCAATTCCAAAATAAATTTGCAATACTACATGGAGGATACAAGGTTGAAGCTAATTGAGTGAATGATCATATAGAACGTGCAAAACTACATTGGAAGAACAAATGTTTAATAGTCTCATCATGATGGCAGAAAACACATGATTTGCTGCCAATCAAATTTTGCTTCGCAAGGTTATCTCTAGTAAGAATGACACCACGTCTTAAATACCAAGTAAAAATGTTGATCTTTAAAGGAATTTTCATTTTCTAAATCTTCTTCTTATTATTGACAGGAACATCCAGTTGGATTAAGACATTGTACATGGAATTTACCGAGAATTCACCATTCTCATGTAAATTCCAACGAAGAATTCACCATTGTACATGGCCTATTTGTGCACGAGGCCACGTCGTCCTCTACCATTTGAACCGTTGTAACCTGGGGCGTTGCCTATATAATGTTGGAAATGTGCCCTAGAGGCAATAATAAAAGCATTATTATTATATTTCCTTGTTCATGATAATTGTCTTTATTCATGCTATAATTGTGTTATCCGGAAATCGTAATACATGTGTGAATAACAGACACCGACATGTCCCTAGTGAGCCTCTAGTTGACTAGCTCGTTGATCAACAGATAGTCATGGTTTCCTGACTATGGACACTGGATGTCATTGATAACGAGATCACATCATTGGGAGAATGATGTGATGGACAAGACCCAATCCTAAACATAGCACAAGATCGTATAGTTCGTTTGCTAGAGTTTTCCAATGTCAAGTATCTTTTCCTTAGACCATGAGATCGTGTAACTCCCGGATACCGTAGGAGTTCTTTGGGTATGCCAAACGTCACAACGTAACTGGGTGACTATAAAGGTAGACTACGGGTATCTCCGAAAGTGTCTGTTGGGTGACTTGGATCAAGACTGGGATTTGTCACTCCGTATGACGGAGAGGTATCACTGGGCCCACTAGGTAATGCATCATCATAATGAGCTCAGAGTGACCAAGTGTCTGGTCACGGGATCATGCATTACGGTACGAGTAAAGTGACTTGCCGGTAACGAGATTGAACGAGGTATTGGGATACCGACGATCGAATCTCGGGCAAGTAACATATCGATAGACAAAGGGAATAGCGTACGGGATTGATTAAATCCTCGACATCGTGGTTCATCCGATGAGATCATCGTGGAGCATGTGGGAGCCAACATGGGTATCCAGAATCCACTGTTGGTTATTGACTGGAGAGTCGTCTCGGTCATGTCTGCTTGTCTCCCGAACCCGTAGGGTCTACACACTTAAGGTTCGGTGACGCTAGGGTTATGAAGATATGTATATGCAGAAACCCGAATGTTGTTCGGAGTCCCGGATGAGATCCCGGACGTCACGAGGAGTTCCGGAATGGTCCGGAGGTAAAGAATTATATATAGGAAGTGCTATTTCGGGCATCGGGACAAGTTTCGGGGTTATCGGTATTGTACCGGGACCACCGGAAGGGTCCCGGGGGTCCACCGGGTGGGGCCACCTGTCCCGGGGGGCCACATGGGCTGTAGGGGGTGCGCCTTGGCCTAGATGGGCCAAGGGCACCAGCCCTATAGGCCCATGCGCCTAGGGTTTCCACCATGGAAGAGTCCATGTGGTGGAAGGCACCCCTAGGTGCCTTGGGGGGGAGGGAAACCTCCCCTTGGCCGCCGCCCCCCTAGTAGATGCCATCTACTAGGGCCGGCGCCCCCCTGGCACCCCTATATATAGTAGGGGGGAGAGGAGGGATTTTACACCAGCCCCTGGCGCCTCCACCTCGCCCCCGTTACGTCTCTCCCTCGTAGTCTCGGCGAAGCCCTGCTGCGGTGACGCCCTGCATCCACCACCACGCCGTCGTGCTGCTGGATCTTCATCAACCTCTCCTTTCCCCTTGCTGGATCAAGAAGGAGGAGACGTCTCCCGTCCCGTACGTGTGTTGAACGCGGAGGTGCCGTCCGTTCGGCGCTGGTCATCGGTGATTTGGATCACGTCGAGTACGACTACATCATCACCGTTTTTTTGAACGCTTCCGTGCGCGATCTATAAAGGTATGTAGATGCATCTAATCACTCGTTGCTAGATGAACTCCTAGATGATCTTGGTGAAACGAGTAGGAAAATTTTTGTTTTCTGCAACGTTCCCCAACAGTGGCATCATGAGCTAGGTCTATGCGTAGTTCTTCTTGCGCGAGTAGAACACAATTTGTTGTGGGCGTAGATTTGTCAACTTTCTTGCCGTTACTACTCCTTTCTTGCTTCAGCGGTATTGTGGGATGAAGCGACCCGGACCAACCTTACACGTACGCTTACGTGAGACCGGTTCCACCGACTAACATGCACTAGTTGCATAAGGTGGCTGGCGGGTGTCTGTCTCTCCTACTTTAGTTGGAGCGGAATCGATGAACAGGGTCCTTATGAAAGGTAAATAGAAGTTGACAAATCACGTTGTGGCTTTAACGTAGGTAAGAAAATGTTCTTGCTAGAACCCTAATTCAGCCACGTAAAACTTGCAACAACAATTAGAGGACGTCTAACTTGTTTTTGTAGCAAGTGGTTTGTGATATGATATGGCCAAAGTTGTGATGAATGATCAATGATCTATATGTGATGTATGAGATGTTCATGCTATTGTAATAGGAATCACGACTTGCATGTCGATGAGTATGACAACCGGCAGGAGCCATAGGAGTTGTCTTTATTCTTTTATATGACCTGCGTGTCATCAAGAAACGCCATGTAAATTACTTTACTTTATTGCTAAACGCGTTAGCCATAGTAGTAGAAGTAATAGTTGGCGAGCAACTTCATGGAGACACGATGATGGAGATCATGATGATGGAGATCATGGTGTCAAGCCGGTGACAAGATGATCATGGAGCCCCAAGATGGAGATCAAAGGAGCTATGTGATATTAACCATATCATGTCACGTTTATTATTTGATTGCATGTGATGTTTATCATGTTTTGCATCTTGTTTACTTAGAACGACGGTAGTAAATAAGGTGATCCCTCATACTAATTTCAAGAAGTGTTCCCCCTAACTGTGCACCGTTGCGACAGTTCGCTGTTTCAAAACACCACGTGATGATCGGGTGTTTTATTCAGACGTTCACATACAACGGGTGTAAGACAGATTTACACATGCAAACACTTAGGTTGACTTGACGAGCCTAGCATGTACAGACATGGCCTCGGAACACGGAAGACCGAAAGGTCGAGCATGAGTCGTATAGAAGATACGATCAACATAAAGATGTTCACCGATGTTGACTAGTCCGTCTCACGTGATGATCGGACACGGTCT